TGACTTGTGTTTTCTCTATATCATCTGCAGTTTGAGATTCTTTTGTTGAAAGATCAAAAAATGATAGAACTTCAGGTGATATTGGTACTTCCAAAAGCGATTTACCTTAAAAATATACATGAGAATAAAATAAATAACAAAATTTATAAATAATTTAACTTTCTGCATACTTATAATTTTTCTACATTATTAATATACTTACTTATTTCATCACAAATTATTAGTCCACCATTTGGGCCAATAGTTATTTCTTTATCAAGCGTTAAAGAGTCATATTTATTACCGATTATGTATGTCTCAGGAATGAAGCTTTCTTCCAATGTGGAGCTGAAAGGATACATTGATAAATACTGATACTGATAAATCGGCAAAATTATTAAATATAATATAATAAAATAATATAATATAATATAATAAAGTCTGATAAAATTAATGGAATAAAGATTCTCACCTTGATCTTAGGTTATACGACAGCCCTACACTAGAACTCATAGATCTAAGAATCAATGGATGGAGCGTAGAGTGGATTCTTTGGCAAGGGGGTTGCCAAATTTGTGGTAAAGGGAATGAGAGCGTTCTCTTCTATCCGCTTATCGTCTCTTTCTACAAGAAGACCTCATCGATTTGGTAACGAAATTAACCAAAGACGTCCGAACAATCCGAAGATACTCGAAAACGATAAAAAAGAGCATTTTGAGGTTTCGAACGTCGCGTTTTCAGCATTTTGTAATTTTTTAAGAAGTTTTGTGCCAATTTTTACACAATGCCGACTTGCATAATTTCGGACTGTGATAATTGGACTGATCAAAAAAAAATGCGACGCGCAGATCGAACTGGAAGATTATGAAAGAATTTCATATCATAAGTACGTCGTTTGTATGCGAGTTTTAACTTAGTTTTATTTATAAACGTTATGAAATGTATTAATTATTATGTATTAAAAAATATGTATATATATATATTTTTCTAAATTTTTAAGTTGCATACATTGTCAGGTAATAGGTTATATTTTTATGTATTTCAGATTTCCTCTTGAGCCATATAAACGCCAAATTTGGATAGCAAGTTTAGGGCTACATAAATGGGATCCTTCTAAAACAGCTACTATTTGTTCTTAACATTTTGCAGTCAGCGATTTTGTATTTTCAAAATTGGTGCACGAGTAGGCGAACATTGAAAAAAATAGAAGTACCTTCAGTAAATATCCATGTGGCTGTAAGTGTAATAATTTGATCAAATCGTCTTTATAGTACAAGAAATATTATAATATTATATTCAGATTTATCGACCATGTAAAACAAATACATCGCCTGATGTCAGTTCCATAGCTGTACAAAATGAAGCAAGCATCGAAGCATATGAGCGTGAAGAAAATAAAATAAGTCAGGAGACACGGTAGTGGCTTGATGTCAAGTGTTGAAAAAACTATAAGTATAAATAAAATATAATATAAAATATATGTATGCATATAAAAATGATATGTCATATAT